CATTTAATCATCGAGTATTCAGAACAAGCCTTTGACATGGGGACCAGCATTAAAAGTCCTATCTCACAGATAAAAGGATGCGGTTCAGAGAGGCCACACCACCTCTAAAATTAGACATGTTGAGAAAATGACTAGACTTTGTTCCCAGTGTGTTAGAAAGTAGCTGTAAATACTGCCTCTGTAAGCCTGCTTTCCCAAATGCTTCGCTATATTGTATAACCATGAAACTTTCTTTGTTTTTGTTTTATTTTGTTTTTGAAACAGAGTGCCTGGCTGGTGAGAGGCTCAAAAAACGTACTTGCTGCCAAGTAGATGATCTGAGCTCAATCCCTGGTGCCCAAATGGAGAGCTGAGAGAATTGATTTGTCCTCCATGTGCATGCCATGGTGCGCGCACACACACACACACGTACACACACACACACAGAGAGAGAGAGAGACAGAGAGTCAGAGACACACACACACAGAAACAAAAAATCAAACTATGACTAGGTAGGCTATTGGGAGGTGGGGCCAGTTGGAGGAAGTTGGGTCATTGTGGGACATGCCTTTGATGGACATGTCCTCTCATCCTTCTCCCTTCCTGTCTCCTGGCAGTTTCTGGACTCCATGACGTATGTCACCTATCCCACAACGAATTAAGCCTCTGATACCATTATCAAAACAGTCCGAGTTGTCTGTGTCAGGTACTTTGACCACAGGGCTGGAAAGGAAAAACACTGTGTTCCCACTCCAGCGACCCATCTTCTAAAGGGAAACGCCTCCAAACAATGTTCCGCTTTCTGTCAAAAGCCTTCTCCTGGCTTCTGACTTCTGTAGGGCATTTCTACACGCGGCAGCAGTATAGTATTCTGACGGCAGTCTGAAGAGAGGATTGTCACAAGGAGCAACCACTCACACCAGACAGTTAACACAAGGGCAAAGAGGAACTGCTTTCTAGGGGTGATCCTACCTTCATTGTGAAGCCAGCGAGAACTCTTTTTTTTTTTTCGAGAACTCTTAATGACCCCCCAAAGGCTCACTGCATGGAGCCCCTTCAGTCTAAGTTTGCCTTCATTGTTTAAATTTTTTAAAATTAGACTTATTTTATTTTATGTGTGAGTGTCTTGCCTGCCTGTTTCTATGTGAGCTATATGCATGCTTGGTGCCCGCAGAGGTCAGAAAAGGTCATCAGATGCCCTGAACTGGACTTAGAGATGGCTATGAGCCATCATGTGGGTGCCAGGATTGAACCTGAGTCCTCTGGAAGAGCAAGTGCTCCTAATCGCTGAGCCAGCTCTCTAACTCACCTTCTCTTGTTTAACCATAGAGCCTCTAGATTTGGGGGTAGAAATAGATTTTTGTGGTAGAGAACTTACCTACCATGCCCCCAAAACACTAGTCAATAATCTGTGGAAGGTCAAGACTGGAGGCCAGGGCATAAATACAGGGTCTTGGGGGATTTATAGTCTGGAGGAGACCCCACCGTTGGCAGGCAGAGACATCCAGGAAGAAGGGAATAAGTCAAGGACAGTTGAGCATATGGTATTGTTGGCAGTCCTGTAGGGGATGGCGGTGGCTACCTACCAGTGATGTGTATTTGCTGCGAGTCAGGTGTAATCCTCACACTTTCATTCACTTATGTGTTTCTCTCGCTGGGAATGGAAACCAGAGCCTCCTTCATGATACACAAGAGATTCCTAGCTGAGACACACACCTTCAGAGCTTTACGGGGGTGGGGAGGTGGATTCTAGCTAAGCCCTCTACATACAGCCCTTCACTGGGGATTCTAGGCAAGTGCTCTACCACTGGGCTAGCCTCCAGGCCTAAGAAGCCTACGAGGTGGGCATCATTATATTCATCTTAAATATAAAGGCGTGAAGAGCCAGAGAAGGCGAGGCTCTGCTTCAGTCACACAGCTGGGGCGGTGGTCCAGCAGGGGGCCAGAGGTCAACACGTCCACCTGGGACTTAGAGATTCTGACAGACGCATGGACAGATGTGAAAACCGGCTCAGCCACCAGCTCCGTAGGAAAGCATGTGGCCAGAAAGTGGCAAGCCCTTCCTCCCCTTGAGCTGTGTGCCTCAGGCCCCAGGACGGCAAGCTTGAATTCAGCACCACGGACAGCCTCCCGGCCTTCAGGCTGTCGAGCACATCTTGGCGTAGTTGCTGCAGTTCTGTTATCAAAGCCTTTAGAGCTGTTTTATGTGTGAGTGTGTGTGGTGCGTGTGCGCACGGGGTGCGTTGTACATGTGTGGGCGGGTGTTGGTGCCTGCGTGCACGGGCACGGTGGTAGAAGGAGGACAACAGGGTCTTGCTCTATCACTCTGTCTTGTTTCCTTGAGTCAGGGTCTCTCATTGAACCTGAAGCGAAGCTGACAGCCAGCAGGCCCCAGAGAACCTCATGTCTCTGCAGCCCACAGCACTGATCTTCTGATTCTGCTACCTCTTGCCTCCCCAGTGCTGGGACTATAAGCATGCACCATCACACCCAGTGTTGTTAATGCCATTATAGACACCTTGATTCAACTCCCTCACTACATGAAGGATGAAACTGAAGTTGTGCAAAAATTGAGGGGGCTACAGTGTCTTAGGGAACACAAGTAAAACCAGTAACGACCCCGTTCTCAGGCAGGGATGAAAGCCAAGTGAACTGAACACATTTGTCTAGCATCGTGGTGGTGCACACTTGCAGGCCCAGCGGGGTGGAGGTAGTAGGATCACAGGCTTGAATTCAGGCGGGAAGGATGACTTAGTGGCTAAGAGCACTTGCTGTTCTTGCACTGAGCCTGAGTTTGGTTCCTAGCATTCACGCCAAATGGCTCACTATCACTTGCAACTCCAGTTTTAGGGGCTCTGACACTCCCTTCTTGCTTCTGTGGTATCTGCACATGTTCATTCATGCATGTGCATGCTCGCTCTCTCTCTTGCTCTCTCTCTCTCTCTCCATAGGGTCTCACTCGATACTGGACTATCCTGGAACTCACTAGGTAGACCACTCTGGCCTTGCCTGCATCTGACCCCTGAGTTCTGGGATTAAAGGCAATGTGCTACTATTCCCACCTGTTAAAAAATAGAAATAAAAATAAACTTAATAAAAGAAGTTTAAGATCATTCTCAACTACATAGCAAATTCCAGGCTATCTTAAGATACATGTCACACACACTCTGTTCTTTTCTTTATTCTCTTTTTTCTCAGACCTATATACAGGGTCTCTCTGTATAGCTCTGGCTGCCCTGGAAGTTTCTCTGTAGATCAGACTGGCCTTGAACTCACAGAGATCCTCCTGCCCCTGCCTCCCAAACGCCAGAATCAAAGCTGTGCACCACCATCACCCTGTATCAGAAACCATTTAAAATATTTGCTATTTTTATTCATGTGTATATGTGTGTGCATGTATGTATGTCTGTCTGTCTGTATGCCAAATGTGTGCAGGTGCCTGAGACTAGAAGAGAGCTTTGGCTGTCCCAAAATTGGAGTTACAGACAGTGTGAGCAACTCAACAAGGAGCTGCCAACAGAACTCTGATCCACAAGAGCAGTTCTGGCTCTCAACTGATGAGCCGTCTCCAAGCCTCTGACGGCTGCCTTTTTTGGTGACCCAGTGTGTTTCACTAGTATCGCCTACAGGACCACAAGTGAGGAGTTATTTACAGAATAACGTAACAGTGGCTGCACCACTCACGATAATGCCCCTCCCCCCCCACAGGCCAGCAAGATGAATCTGTGGGTAAAACACGCGTCTGCCAGCTCTGCTGACTTGAGCTCAGTCTGTGGCACCCATGTGGTGGAAACAGCTCCCAGGAGTTGTCCTCTGACCTCCACATGCACATCCTGGCATGCATGTACGCTCTTACATGCCTGCACACGCACACACAAGTAAACACATGTTAAAACAAAAAAGTCTCTCTCTTCCCTAGCAACTATTAACTCTTCACAGAGTCTTGGAGAGGGTTTTCTTTTTTTGAGACAGGTTCTTTTTATATATTCCAGGCTGGTCTTGAACTCACTATGAAGCATGATAATCCTCATGTCCTAGAACTTAGAATCATTGATTAGGTTTTTGTGGAACAAAAGTGGACAGAAGTTTAGGGCCTCGGAAGGTGTCTGCTCCTGAGTTGGTCCCACTGCTGAGAGAAGACCAGGAGACTTCTCCAGCTCCTTGCATAGCTTCAGTGCTGGGTAAGGAATGGACCATTAGCAAGGGGCGCCCTCTGAAAGTGTCCAGTAGGATTTTTCTGAGTCCATTGTCAGGCACCAGGCTGAGCTACTCTTTGCCATCTCTGATTCAGCCTGCTCCCTCTTCTACATATTGTTTTCTCCCGTGCTGGGGTTTGAACTTAGAGCCTTTTGCATGCTAGGCCAGGCTCTAATGCTGAGCTCCAGCCTCACACTGGAGGGTTCAAGGCAAACTCTATCACCAAGCCACACCCCAGCCCCTCACTGGGGCATTCTAGGCAGGTGCTCTAACACTGAGCTGCACCCCAGCCCCTCACTGGGGATTCTAGGCAGGTGCTCTAACACTGAGCCGCACCGCCAGCCCACTGACATTTGGATTTCTATAATCTAGAGCACATCATATGTTCATTCTGGAGTTCATTTTACAGGTAGGAATAACCGATCCACAGACTAACTTTGTAGCTTGCCTGTGGTCACAAATGTCAACCAGTGGCAATACTGGGTTCTGAACATTTCTGAAGTCCCCTGGATTGTAGCCCATATGGACACACAAACAGGTGCCTGTGGTGTTAGTGAATGAATCTTGTGACATGACCTCCAGGGTTTTCATTCTTTAGAATGGAAGGCATGACTGCAACATGACCCAGATGGCAGCAAATAGCCCTCAGGATCCTCCGTTGTCTGTATCTTGTACTCTGAGCCAGGACAGAGCTTCCGGTGGGTGGAGTCCAAGATCTCTCCTTCCTTCACCCCGCGCCTAAGGGCACATCTGGACAAGCTATCCAAGCACGAAGCTGCAGCATGAGGTGCTCCCTCCCTTCCATCACTCAGGTTAATACTCACATGTGGGCCCCAGGCCGGTCCTCCCTGGTCAGTACTCCCTCCTTCTCCATCAGCATCTGCCGGAAAGTCCCGACCTTCTGCCGAATCTCCTCCTCCGAGTACCTGTGGGACACAGGGAGCATGAGGGCTTTGCTGCTAACTCTAGGTCATTCCCAACTGCTCTCCAGTGCAGGCTCTATTTGGCAGCTATTTTTAAAATAGTATTACTCTCTCTCAATGTATCCACTCCCTTCCCCCTCTTCTTCCCGTCCTCCTTTTCTGTTCTCTCTGTATTTTATGTTTTTATCCCTCTCTCCTTCCTTCTCTCCTTTTTTTTTTTTTTTTTTGGGGGGGGTGCTATGTAGCCTAGGCTATCTTGTAATTCACTTGTAATCCAAGCTGAATTACCCTTTAATACTCATGCCTCAGCATCTCAGTGCTAAAAGCACAGGCTGTCCCTCATGGCTGTGTGCACAGAGTTCATGCCTGCTGTGGCACTAACAGGTGTCTGTGGCTATTGGTGAATGCATCTTGGGTCATGACCTCCAGGGTTTGCATTCTTTGGACGGGAAGACACAGCTGCAGCATGAAGACTTGGCTCATTGTGTGTTGACAGGAGGATGGATAGCCCTTAGCGGGGAGAGTGTCAGCAATTCCATTTTCATAGTGACCTGTGCCTCCTGGACCCTGGCAGCAGTTCATGCTCCAGTAATTTTCTGTTAACTTGTCTGTACTCTGCCCGGCCTCAGAGTTTTGTAGAGTGGAAGTCTTGTCTCTCTCAATCTTGATTTTCCGAGACAGGGTTTCTCTGTGTAGTCTTGGCTGTCCTGGACTCATTTTGTAGACTGGGCTGGCTCCAAACTTACAGATTAAAGGTGTGTGCCACTACTCCCAGCAATTTTAAAACTTTATTTTTATTTAAAACTTTTTTTTTTTTTTTTTGGTCGGGCACGGTTGCCTTTAATCCCAGCGCTCAGAAGGCAAAGCACGGGGTGGGGAACCTCTTAGTTTGAGGCCATTCTGGTCTACAAAGTAAGTTCCAGGCTAGCCAGGGCTCTAGAGTGAGACCTCGTCTCTACTCCAAATTATTATTTATTTAATGTGCCTGTGCGTGCACACAGGCGCGTGTGATGAGTGCACATGTGTGTGACTTCTGAGCCCGGCACCACCCATCGCAGTGACTAGATTAAGGGGCAACCTCAGCTGTAGGGTTGAAGGTCATGGCGAAGCTGCAGGAAATGTTGTTACTTAGGACTCCTGTGGGTTTTCCTGCCTGGCATCTCTACCCGTCTTATAGGTTGTGGAAACTGAGGTCTTGAATTGTCATTTATGTTTATGTCTTATGCTTGTGGACACTGGGTGTGTCAGGGGCACGGAAACGCATCCTGTGGCGTCTGTGAGTCGGAGCCTAGTCTTGAGAGTCTCAACGAAGGAACGAATAAAAGGCGGGCTGGGCTCCTGCTCCACTTAGCTGATCCAGAACTTGCTTCTGTGTTGGATGAGGCTGCTGGCTCTTGGTGCTCTTCAGACTCGGCACCAGGCTTCAACCCAGGCACCCAGGTCTCCCTGAACACCTCAACCCTATTCCAACCCTGCCCTCGCGGCCCAACCTTCTCTGACGCTGGCCACACCAGCACTGCAGAATAAAATCGACCTTCAGTCAGTCTCTTCAGACATGAGGCCTGCGACCAGCCTGATTAGGCCTGGCACATCCCAGTTGTGCTTCTGGATGCACTCACCATGCCGGGCCAAGCTCCCTGTTGTTCCGATATCCTGGGCACAGCTCCATCGCGTCCAGGTCGGGTCCCCTCAATTAGACCAGCCACCCCCCCCAGTCCCCCTCCCCCGCCAGCCCAAACACCTCCCCATCCCTACTCCGGCTCCATTCTACACCATTCCCACCCAGCGCTGCCCACCCCCACTCCAATCCTGCCACACCAAGTCCCTGGGCACAACCCTACTACTTCAGGGTTCACAATCACACCTCTGTCCTGGCCCCACCACATCATACTCCAGCCACGGGCCCTTCCGCGTCTCACACCAATGGCCTCAGCATTCCTCCAGGGAGTAAAGCTCCCCGCGGGGTCAGCCACAGCCCCTACTCCGCCTTCCTCACCAAGCTCCGGATCACAACCCAGCCACGCCTCCCCACCTACACTCACCCACACCCTCGCTCTGGCTTCACACTACCTTACCCCAGCCAGACTGCTTAGCCTGCTCCTCCCTCGGCACCAAGCCCCTGGGTACGTCAGAGCCGCTGCACAGCCCGCCCTGCACAAGCATATCCCAACCTCACCCCCCCCCCCGGCCCCCCGGCTGGCCCCACCCTTGTGCCCTTCTCCCCCGGAGCACCTCCCAAACACGCCCCTGCTCAGACTCCTCCTCACCAGGCGCTCAGTTTCCGTCCTCGCTCCGCCCCGCCCTGCTCTGATTCGTCCTACGATATCCAACCGCGTCCCCTGTCTGTCCCTGCCCCGCCCTGCTGCACCAGAGGACGGTTCCGTAACCACCGCGCTGCCGCCCCTCGCCCTCGCCACGCCCCTGCGCTCCCGCCACGCCCTACCCACGCCCCCGACAGCTCCCCCAAGGCTGTCCTGATCACAGCCTGACCACACACCCCCCGCCCCCGGCTCCCCAGGCCCTTGTCTTGCAGCCACGCCCACGCCTCTTACCCCTGCTCCTCCATCATCTCCTGCAGCTCCATGCACTTGAGCTCTACGCGCCGCTTGCGCTCGTGGTCCAGGATCTCCCGGTGCGCGCGCTTCACCAAGCCGGGCTCGGCGGCGCGCAGCTCCTCCTCCGCGCGTGGCCAGCCCCCGGACGAGGCGCCCGGCTGCGGGAAGCCGTTGGCGGCGTCTGGCGGGGATGGCATGCCGGTAGCCCCGTTGTTCACGGTGGAGGACATGACACAGGTCCTCGGTGGTCGGCCCTGCGGGACAGACAAAACACAAGGCGGGGTGGTCACCTCATGGGCATCGGGCGTCGGCTAATATCTCCCTATACGACTTAATCCTGGAAGTTTAGGATCCACTCGCGGCTCTAACCCACTTGCTCTCACGCTGTAGAGGGAGGAGCGGGTGACAGGTAATGAATGTCACTTCAGGACAGGAATGTATTCCACGCTAATCTTTCCCCATCTGTAAAGTGGGTGGGTGCAGGCTAGATCTTTGTGTTTTCTTTCTTTCTTTCTTTCTTTCTTTCTTTCTTTCTTTCTTTCTTTCTTTCTTTCTCTCTCTCTCTCTCTCTCTCTCTCTCTCTCTCTCTCTCTCTTTCTTTCCTCCCTCCCTCCCTCCCTCCCTCCTTCCTTCTTCTTTTTCTTAGACCACGTTTCCTATAGCCCAGCCTGGCTCGCTATGTAGTCAAGTATGACTTTAAACTTGTGACCCTCCCGCCTCTGTCTCCTAAGTGCTGTTATTACAGGCATGCACCATCACAGCAGGATAATTCAGCAGAGCCCCAGGGCTTTGTGCCTGCTAGGCAAGCACTCTACCCACTGTGCTCCAGCCCCTCCAGTTGACTTCAATCCTGTATGGTGCCTGTGACATGGCACCAGAGGGTAAAGGCACTTGCCACCAAGCCAGATAGCTAGAGTTCAAAGCTCAGAACACACATGATGGAAGGAGAGAACTGGCTCCTGCAAATTGTCCTTTGACCTCCACACATCTGAACTATGACACATGCTCACACAACACAATAAAGAAAGGAACACAAAAGTTGTTTTGTTTTTAAGTTTTGTTTGCTTGTTTGTTGTTTTTGTTTTTTGAGACTGGATTTCTCTGGTTGTCCTGCCCAGCCTTTCCTAATCTATGAATACAAAATTTCAAAAGTCTTGTTTTCTCATGCTAGGATTAAACCCAGGACTTTACAAATGACAGGCAAGGGGTCTACCATTGAGTTACAGCTTTAGCTTTAAAAACAAAAAGATATTGCTGGGCATGGTGGTACATGGCTGTGTTCCCAGCGCTCAGGAGGCAGAGACAGGCAAGTCTCTTGGTCTACAGAGAGAGTTCTAGGCTAGCCAGGGCTACACAGAAACTCTGTCTCAAAAAGAAACAAAAAGGATATTAAGACTTACTTTTTTTTTTTTTTTTTTTTTTTTTGAGACAAGGTTTCTCTGTGCCTGGCTGTAGCTGTCCTGGAACTCACTTTGTAGACCAGGCTGGCCTCATTCACAGAGATCCTCCTGCCTCTGCCTCCCAAGTTCCCAAGGGCTGGGAGTAAAGCTGTGCACCACCACCGGCTAAGACTTCTTCTTCTGTGTGTGAGAGTTTCGCCCGCATGCATACATGTGCACCACACGCGTGCTTGGTGCCTGAGGAGTCAGGAAAGGATATCAGATCCCCTGGAACTGGGCTTATGGGTAGTTGTGAGCCACCACGCCGGGGCTGGGGATCGAACATGGGTCCTCTGCAAACAACGAGCAACAGACAAGTTCTCTCAACCACTGAGCCATCTCTCCAGTCCAAGTAAAGCCGTTTGTCTGCAGGGCCCGCCAGGTAAGCGCGTAAAACCTAAGTGGCATCTCCAGCCGCTCAGTCTAAATTAGCTCCGGGTACTGTTCTGGCTTTGTTCAGTGTTCTTGCAACCTCTAGTCCGCAACCCTGCAGAAATGGGGTTTTCTCCAGGCTGCATTCCTTCCTACTCCAGTGCCGTTCCAGCCTCCACTAACTGCCCAACTTTTTCAAAGCTAACATTGCAGAGGGCAGTCTCAAAGAAGACTGACTCTTCTATAGTCGGGTGTGGTGGCGCATGCCTTTAGATCCAGCACTCGAGGAGGCAGAGGCGAGTGGATCACTGTGAGTTCAAGGCCAGCCTGGTCTACAAAGCGAGTCCAGGACAAACTGCCTCCTCTTTGTTTGGAAATCCTGCCCCCAAGGACTGCCCAAGGTAACATAGAAAATTAGCTTTCCAGGCAGCCATGATTTCTTGTGTGCTAAGGGTATAGTAGAAGTCAGCATGGTTTGGAGATGATTAGCCTTGACACTGTGATAGGCCAAAAGTAGAACACACACACACACACACACACACAGAGAGAGAGAGAGAGAGAGAGGGAACCGCCTCCTAAGCTATTTCCGAGTCCTTTCTCCAAGGCTCTGCTAGTTGCTAAGCAACCGAAGGCCTTGTTCTTAGGGTGTGGGATGTACAGGATAGAGGAAGGGTGGGGCATGTATAGATTGGAGCCATCTCAGCAACATCCTTCCCTCTCACCCCACTGGGGATGGAATTTGGGGCTTTGCATATGACAGACAAGCACTATACCAACTGAGCTACAACCTCAGCCCCAATTGGCTTCTTTAAAAATGACCTGGCCAATTGGCCTGGACACATCTCTCACCAACAGGGTTCTAGGCCAGGCTCCTCTACGATTTGCTGTGTGACCCTGAGGATATTACGCCCATCTCTGAGCCTTCACTTTCCATCTGTGGCTAGGAGCATCACACACATTTCTCAGGAGAGGCGAGTTCCCTGGAACTCAGAAACGGAAACTGTGGTAATGGTTTTCACCACCAATTTGACATAATCTAGAATCGCTGGGGAAAGGAGTGTCGGTGAGAGACGGTCCAGCTTAAGTTGGCCTGCAGTCTTGTCTGTCGGGGGTTACCATGGCTATATTAATTGAAGTGGAAAACCTTCAGTTCCTAAGTGGGTAGCATCATTTCCCAGGCAGGGAGCCCCAAACTGCTTGAGTGGACAGTATGAGCTGGGTGCTGGTGTACGAGCTGGGCATCAGTTCATTGTCCTCTGCTCTCAGCTGTGAATAGTGATGTGACCGGTTGCTTCGAGTCCCTAACACCACGACGTCCTTGGCATGATGGATTGTGACATTGAATTGTAAGCCAATAAATCCTTTTCCTATTGAGTTACTTTTGTCAGAGCAACTTGAAATGGTTTTTATCAGAGCTTTTTTGACAAGCTTTCACTATACAGCTCTGACCTGGACTTTGCTATGTAGACCAGGCTGGCCCTCAAATCTACACAGATCTGCCTGCCTGTGGCTCCTGAGTTCTGGGACTAAAGGCACGTGCAACAACTCCTAGGCCTTGTCAGAGTCCTAATCCATTTCTCTTTATCTCCAACCTTGCCAATTTCCTACCTCTGTCCATGGAATAGCCCCGAACCCTAAACCCAGTTCTACACAGGTACGCACACCCACACGCCCATATTTTGGGTCCCTCACCTCTCCTCACTATGCGTCCCATTCATCCACTTATTCTCTTCCCCTGATATCTCAGCATTTGCCTGGCCTCCCTGCCCTTAGACTCCCATCCTCCATGAACGACCTGGAAGGTCAGCCCAGGGTTACACAGGCTGTGTCCTGTCTTGGGTTAGACTTGAGATACCCTATTGTGTTGGCATGTCGTGTGACTGAGCCCTGCCTTGTGGTCTCTCTCTCTTAGCCCAGGCCTGCCAACTTGCAGGCCTTTGTTCTTTGAGATGGAGTCTCGCTCCATAGTCCACACTGATCTTGAACTATCATGTCTTCCAGGTTGGCCACCAATTCACTTTCTCCCTCCTCCGCCTCCCAAGGGCTACAATTTCAGGCTTTAGCCACCATGGCTAGTTCCCAGGATGCTCTCCCCCAGACTCCTACTCAGCGCTCACAGACATCAACTTTGAGGCTTTCCTTATCCTGCTGGCTGGTGCCACCCTCCCCAATCTGTCACTTGCTACTGTCACCATGGATTTACAAGCTTGGAGTAGCCTTGAAGCTTCTGAATCAGTTAAGTGCCCACATAAGTGGAGCTCAATGAACAGGACTGGGACAAATCAAAGACCTTATAAAAGGCGGGTGAGACAGGAGCAAATGGCAGTCAGCCATGCTGTCTCCACACACTCTCCTCGTTCTGTCTTCTTAAATTATTTTTCCCCGTAATGGGAATGGAATCCAGGGTTCTCCCCATGCTCAGCAAGCTGTTTACTGCTTAGCCACACCCCCAGCCCCTCACTGGGGGATTCTAGGCAGGGCCTCTACCGCAGAGTTATGCCCCCAGACACTCACAGGCAGACTGTAGGAAAGCACTCTACCACTGGGCTACACAGCCATCTTGAAACTTCACCTCTTGCCACATTCTATCCTAAACCACTCTCCGGCCCCAACTCCTCCATTTGGTCTTTGCTCAGGTAATTCAACTGAGATAAAATTTCTGTTCTCCTCTTTTCCACCCAAGGAACTTCTATTCATCCTCTGAGTCCAGCCCTAAGGTTACTCTCCCCTGGAAGTCTCACTCTAGCTGGGAAGTCTGAATCACTCCCCTGCTGTGAGCACAACCTCTGATCTGACACTGGGACACTGAAGTTGAATGTGTTTGTATCTGGCCCCCATTCCTGGCCATGAGCCCCTGCAACCCGGGGCACTGCTCTAGACTCTCAGAGTGTATCTCACACTCACAATGCATGAGGAGCCTTAAGCTTTAACCTTTACTTTGTCTCTTTTTGGTAGTTGAGATGCTGAAGACAGAGGCTTGCTCTGTCACCCTAATGGGTCTGAAATTCTGTATGTAATCCAGGTTGGCTAACTGTCACTGATAATCCTGCCTTCCTCAGCCTCCCATGCGCTGGGATTACAGGTATGGTTCATTGCACCTGATTAACATGTATTCATACCCCCTCCCCTCCAATAGAGGTTGTTCAGACTGCCCTTAAAATCATGTGGGATGACGTTGACCTTTGATTCTCCTTCCTCACCACGCCTGACTGGCATCATCTTTACAAAGTCATGTGAGGCTCACAAGGACAAGGTCGCACTGTGACAACATAAGCTAAGGTACCTTCAGTGGGTCCTGATCCTAAAACTTAATGTGTGCAACTTTTTGGGGGGTCAGCACGACCTTTACGCCTAAAATCACGTCATGGACCACAGTATAAACACAGACACTAAAAATAATGTTTTAGAATCACCTGCAGGGCTGGCAAAATGACTCAGCAGGTGAAGATGCTTGCTGTCTAGACAGATACTCTGACACTGAAACACGTGGTGGAAGGAGAGGGCCTACAGTGTTCTCAAACTGTCCTCTGGCTGGGCAAGTCTGCAATCTCAGCATCGGAGGCTAAGGCAGGAAGGTTGTGAGTTTGAAGCCAGTTTGGACTACGTAAGTACATACGACCACACAGTTTGTTTCAAGAAAGCAAGCACTCTACCAGCCAAGCTTGGCAATAACGCTGTGGGTGGAATGCTTGCTTTGTAGGCATGATGATGACCTGAGATGGATTCTCAGAAATCAAAACCTCAGGTGTGTTGGTGCATATTCCACTTCATGGGAAGGTGCAGACAGGTGGATCTGTGGAGTTCACTAGCCTCCTTGATGAGTTCCAGCAACAGACCCTTTCTCAGAAAACAAAAAACAAACACCAACCAATCACCCAACCAACCGCCAAACAAACCCCCAAAACCAAAGTGGACAGTACCTAAGAAATGACACAAAGACACATGTGGCTTCCATACACAGGTAAACACACATACAGAGAGAAAGAGACAGACAGAGACACAGGGAGATAGAAGATAGACAGAGAGAGAGTCTCTTTCCTAAATCTGGGAATGGAGATGTGGCTCAGTTGTTATTCTACTTGCCTACTATGAAGTCCTGGCTTCAATTCCCAGCACCCCATAAACCAGGACTGGTGGCACAAACCTGTCATTTTACCAATTTGGAGGTGCGAGCAGGAGGATCAGAAGTTCAAGGTCATCCTGAGTTACCTAGTGAGTTCTAGGCCAGCCTAGGATACAGGAGACACTGTCTCGAAAGGAAGGAAGGAAGGAAGGAGAGAAAGAAAGAAAGAAAGAAAGAAAGAAAGAAAGAAAGAAAGAAAGA